AAAAAAAAAAATAAAAAATAAAATAATTTTTATGTTAGGGTCAACAAAATTGTTCAACCCACATCCACCTTATTACTATTATTTATTATTATTATTGTTATTGTTATTGTTATTGTTATTGTTATTATTATTATTATTATTATTATTATTATTATTATTATTATTATTATTATTGTTATTATTGTCATGAGTGTATGAACCATTAATTCTCAATCTTTTTCACGGTACATCTCATTGCATATCAAGGTACGAGTGGTTTCTAATTTTTCTCTCAATCTTTCTCAATCTTTTTACTCTTACTATCTATCTGTTTCTCTTTCTCTTTCACTATATTTTTGTTTGTCTTTTTATATGTTCCTTTCTTTTTTTCTTTCTTTAACTTATTTTTCTCTCTAGATGTTCTATTTTCTTTCTTCTATTATCAGTTCGTTTAGTCATTTAAATATATATGATATATTATTTGTATAAATATACACTATTTTAAAGATATGTTCGTTGATAAAGCAACCTGAATTTCGTACATTTGTCACAAATTCTTTTATCTTAATTCGATATGTATACATACACACATATAAATATAACATGTTTCATCTACGGGACGGTGTTCATATTCATTAGTCTATATGAATATTACTTCCAATTTATGATAGAAAAAAGGAGGAAAAATATGTAAAAAATTATAAATAAATAAATGAATATATATCTAATGAATAAAATAGACAAGACGAATATCAGCGCGTGCCCCGTAGATCGAATTTTTATTCACGCATGCGGATTCGTCGATCTTTTATCGCTTCTATTTAAAACAAAATCAAGCTAATTAAACAAAATAATCGTCCACAAAGAGATTGAGCATTCCTTAATTAAATGGGAATAATTTAATTATAATTATTTTTATTATTATTATTATTATTATTATTATTATTATTATTATTATTATTATTATTAAATGTCTATCGAATAAATAATAAAATTAAGTAGCATCGAGATTTAAAAAAGGAATCGACGTTCGGTCTTGCATCAATTACTTTTTTCAATCGATGTTTTTTTTTTACAACTCATATTATTATGCGCCGATAATTATAACGTTTAACTACATTAGTTGAAAAAAAATTTCAACGATTTTTTTTATTATTTATTTTATTTTTAACATCGAATGAATGATAAAATAAAAATTTATTGTCTATTTTTGACATACAATTGAATCACTATTGCCATAATTATCGGTACATATACTATATATATATATATATATATTTCTCTCTCTCTCTCTCTCTCTCTCTATCTTTTTTCTCTCTTTCTCTCTCTTTGTCACTCCAACCCTTTAAGTGTATAGTATTACGTATATTTCTACGTACGTATGTATATGTAAAACTATAGAAAAATCCATTTGGCGAATTCACCATATCACCTTGTCCATAACCATCGATATTATTCATACATATATCAAAACTTTGAACTCTCCATATTTATTTGTTTATTTGTTTCTATTTATTTATTTCATTCACGTCCATCCCAGACCTAAGTTCTCAATCAACCTCCTATCTCTCTCATACTTTTCTCTCTCTCTCTCTCTCTCTCTCTCTCTCTCTTTCTCTCTTTCTCTATTGTATGTTGTGTACGTATTTCCATCTCTCTCGTTTAGTTTCTTTTATTTCCCCTTTTTAGTGTACATAAAAAATTAGCATTAATTATGTACACGCAAACGCACACAGGCGGATGAGATTCCAGTTTCATCATGTAGCTGATTTAGTTAACCTTTAAGCGAACAAACGAATACTCCTATCTATTTCACCCTCTTTCTCTCTCTGTTTCTCTTTCTAACATACTCTCTCTCTCTCTCTCTCTTTGTCTTTATCTTTTTTTATATTTATCTTACATAAAGTAACCTTCGAAGTTAGTTACCAAATTTCTTATTAATTATGTATTTTTATTTGCGTTCTCTTCTTAAATCAAAAATCAAAAATAATCTCGGAAGATCGCATTCGCCTGTGAAATTAAAATCTTATATTATATTTTCTATGTCGATCTTTCGTTTTGAAAGAAAGGAAGAAAATCATTAAAAAATAAAAGAAAAAAAAAGAAAAGAAATATTACTTAAAGATTCATTACAATAGTAAATGCATATCCTACCTACATCGTAGGTAACTATTTTATTTCGCTATTTTAATTATTATTATTATTATCATCTTTTGCCTTAAATACATTTATTTTTGACTTTATTTCTTTTTATTCTTTCTTCATCATAGTTAAGCCAAATATAGTTGTTGTTGTCGTGATAGTCACGTGGCTTCAGCCCTTATGTATATATATACATCTCTCTTCTGTAGGAACCCTGCCCTTCTACCCTACAACCCTTCTACTTGAATAACCCCCGTTACAAGAGGTACCACCCCAAACCCCCGTCGAAAACCCGTTCAAGCCCGAAGTTGCACTGACTATCTTTTATCGTACTCTCCTTCTCTATTATATTTGTATCAATCACACTGGCCTTGGACTCCTCCTATCTCGGCACGACACTATGCTACCTCTACTACTACTTCTACTACTACTTCTACTACTACTACTACTACTACTACTACTACTACTACTACTACTACTACTACTTCTACTACTACTACTACTACTACTACTACTACTACCACTCAAAACAACTCTCCGTTGTTGTTCGGCATACGCAACCCCCGTGTAAAGTCGCAGCCAAAGTCGTTATCCAAAAAAAAAATGGTAAGTCCCCGTGAGCCGACGACTTACTCTCATGACTCTTGACAAAAAAAAATAACTCTTGCAAAATTCTCTTTAACGATGCCAACAAAATTAACCCGTAATAAAATTGACTGATATTTTTGGTTTGGTTTCTTATTTTGTTTTCTCTTTTTAAATTGTTATTAATATTATTATCATCATTATTATTATTATTATTATTATTATTATTATTATTATAATTATGATAATGTATAATATAATGATGAATTAATTTTTCCTTTTTAATTTTAACTTTTATAAATTTTACGTTACGTTAGGTTAGGTTACGTTACGTTACCGTTTGTTTGTTTGTTTGTTGGTTTTTTCGTTTCTTCTTCTTCTTCTTAAGTATTATCAGCGTTTTTGTTTGATAAATTTAATAATAATAATAATAATAATAATAATAATAATAATAATAATAATAATAATATGTATACGTATGTTATTCTCGCGTGGGCACGTCTCGTCTAAGTCTCGTCTCGTGACAAGCTGCGTCTTAATATCTTCCTCATTTTTTTCTATCAACATTTTTCTTTTTCCTCTCTCTCTATCTCTCTCTCTTTCTTTCACACTTTTTATCTACCTGTCTATCTTTCTTCCTTTCTTTTCTTTTTTATATCCTTATATCCTATCTTTATCCACAACTTTTTCAACATGTTATGAAAAAAGCAAAAATAATTAAAATACAATTCCCAATTCGTTAACTCACCATTTCTCATCTTTTTCTCTGTGTACTCCAAACCATTTTTCATTTACACAATGACCAAGTAAAAAATTGTGGGCGTCCGAAAAGAAAGAGCGAGAGAGAGAAAGGAAAAGAGGAAGAGAAAGAGATATAAAGTTAGAATTAACCGAAAAAGAATAGAGAACGACACATTAATAATCATTGGAGTCGGTGATTATAAAAATTATCCTAGCGACTAAAAAATAATTTGAATCAATTTATTTATTAAGTTCATTTCAACAGGAGATTATTTAATTGTACGAATCACATGATAAATTCGTTCTTTTTAATTTTTTTTTAATTTAATTTTCGAAATTTTGGACCATTGTCATAATCACCGGCTCATTTATTGGTCGACTATGTTTTTTAGGAAGCATTAAAATCATGAAACGTTCTTTACGCGAGTTTTCAATAATTTTAACACATCTCTTTTCTCTTTATCTCTATTTCCATCCCCCCCCACTCTCTCTCTCTCTCTCTCTCTCTCTTTGTCCATCTATCTACCTTAATATCTCTTTCTTCGTTCCTCTTGTAAATAAAATCTGTATCTATATACATATTTACATACGTACCGTTTATATATTACTTTTCCTTCCAGTTGTTTGAGCGTTCTCCTTATATTAATAATATATAACATGTTTTTTATTCGATATTTCGATTTTGAACATCCTCATTAATTAGCCAATCAAAGTATGATATGATAACGATAATAATAGAGTTGATTTGTTTGGAGTTTTGTTTTTGTTTCTATCTTTCTCTTTCTCTTTCTATCTTTCTATCTTTCTTTCTATCTACTTATCTATCTATCTATCTATCTATCTATCTATCTATCTATCTATCTATCCATCTATCTATCTATCTATCTATCTATCTATCTATCTATCTATCTATCTATCTATCTATCTATCTATCTATTTACTTATGTATTTATATATTTATCTATCTTTATCTATTTCTATTTGACAATATTCTATTTCACACAGCATAATCGCATCTATTTAAATGCTCGTATTTTCTTACATCTTATTTTGACGTACACACGCTTTATTATTCTTCATTAATTTAAATATTGTTAATTAAAAATTAATTAGGATAAATTCGATATGCACTCTCTTCGATTTTCTACTACCTCTTCTTGAGCCGTCATTTTTCTCATACCCATAACTTTCCCTTTAACCACCATCACCACCATTGCCACTTACTACCATGATTATTATCTTACCACTTAAATATCGCCTGTTATTTATAATATTTATTTCTTCTTATTATTATTATTATTTTTTTTACTTATTTTCCTAGTTTTTTTTTCTACTTTATATTTTTCTTTCTTTCTTTCTTTTTCGCCATTAACAAAATCAATGTCTCTCTCGTCATCGCTAATTTCAACGAAGTTAGGGGGAGGGTAGGGTAGAAACGAAAATAATAAAAATGTGTTAACCACCAAACAGAATCAGAGAGAGAGAGAGAGAGAAGGGGGAGAGAAAGAGAGCCTTGTTCATGGCCAACAAAATGCGAACATTTAAATTTGGATGAAGTTTACGATTTTTCCTAGAGCTCGGGCGTCGTTTCAAAATGCGCGAACATGAGCGTACCGGCACAGGCACAGGCACAGGCACAGGCACAGGTCTGTTGGGTTTGCCCGAGAACACTAAATTAATGTAGCTATAACTATTGCTATGTTATGCGTCTCTCTCGACCATACGGTGGCATTATTAGCCAATAACTTACTCTCTCTTTTTTTCTCTTCATTTTATTATAGTCACGTAGCAACACACATGCCGGCCCGAACGAATCTAGATTTTATCGCGAATAGACGCTGGAATGTAGAAGTTATGTTATTATTGCCTATCCTAACATTAATACTTTTTGAAAAACATTTACTTCGTTCTAATTTCGAAAACTTTCGTAACCATCCTTCATTCGAAAATCGAAGCCAGGAGTGTCAGTAAAAAGAAAAGAAGCCTGCTGCTGCTAAGCTTCCAATTATTTCTTTTTCTTCTTGTATTTTTCTTTCTCTTTTTAAATCTTATTACTCCAATCATTACCGTTTGTTTGAAATAATTTCATGTTTAAAATACTTCCCTTGAATAATAAAAGTATTCATTTAAAAGAAATATATATTTATATATTCTTATAGAAAAAATCTATAAAGACTTTAATAATACTATAATATTATCAAAACTAAAAAAGAAGTATACAAATAACCACACAAATCGTTTTTACAAATTTTATCCTTTCATATTTCATCGCAGTATAGGAATATTCATTTAAAAATGTAAAGCAAAACTGAAAATAATTACAACGAGTTTAAATCCCTTTACCCTTTCCCTTCGCGTAAATTTTCCCTATCCAGGAGAAATATGAAAAATAAAATTAAAAAATTCAAAATTTATATATAGAGAGTGAAAGAAAGAAAGGTAGGAAGATAAACGTGTTACATCGTTACAAAAAGAGAAAAATTCACTCTTCCCTCACCTCTTCCCCTTTTCTTCCTTCTCTCTCTCTCTCTTTCTCTCTCTCTCTCTCTCTCTCTCTCTCTCTCTCTCTCTCTCTCTCTCTCTCTTATAACGAACGATAAATTTAAGATCGTCGTAGAGGAATAGTAAATTTATGCGGAGAATTATTACCGCAGTTATAATGTAAGAGATAGAGAGAGAGAAAGAGAGAGAGAGAAAGAGAAAGATAGAAAGCTTTAGGAAAGTCTTACTTAGATTAAAAGCACGAAAGTCGCTTACTGGAATATTTCTGCGTGTCACCATTTTCCCTGGGATTAAGCGGCCGTATTTCTGCATTGCGTTCGTTATAACACTCGGACGCGACCAAGCTTTATGGTCTCTCGAGAAACCTTCTCTCATCTACTTCTACCATTCCTTTTTTCCTCTTTTAAACTCTTCTCTTTTTACTCTCTTTACCCTTCCCCATCGTTTCTTGTTTCGTCTTCTTCTTCTTCTTCTTCTTTTGTAGAACAATCCTTACACCCAAGCTTCGCAAACTCATGCCTGTTGTTTCGAATTTTATTCGTTCGACTACTAACGGCGAGTTTTTCTTTTATTTGCATATTTTAATGGTACGACGAACAAATAGAACTATTGCTCTTTTACTTTTTCCGTATCCTACCTCCTTCTAACCTCTTTTCCCTCTACTACTCCTCATCTCCCTTTTTCTTCTTTCCTACCTTCCTTTCTTTCCTTCTATTTCTTTTTTATCTTCTTCATCTATTATAGTTAGATCATTCTTTCGTAGAAAACGAACAACTCTGAATGATTTAAAGCATCTCCTATAACAGTAAATTACACTTTCGCTTTTACTTCCCTTTCAAAACTCATCTCTTATATATTCATCCTCGAACGCGTTCCTCTAAATTGTTCTATTTTCTTCTCTGTTTTTTATTTATTTTTTTTTAATTTTTCCTTTCTTACGTGTTCCTTACGATTTTTGGATATTTTTGGTCATCGCTCTCTCTCTCTCTCTCTTTCTTTATCTCTCTATTTTCTACTTTTTTTTCTTTTTATTTTATTCAAAACTATTCGGAGTAAAAGACAAGAGTAGTCGGTAGTTTGAAATATTGCTTGACAAATATTTCGAATAACTTCGATGTTTTCTATCCAGTCGACCGATTATTTTAATCTTTTATTTTTTCTTTTTTCTTTCTATTTGCTAACTCACTGAACAAAAAATTTCTTTCGGAATATTGTAAATTTTTGTCTTTATTTACGTTATTCTCAGATATTTCAAATATTTGCCTTAACGTTAGAAAAGTATAATAACGTTGTATATTGATTTAATTAAAAAATTTGTTTCACTTATTACAGTAGAAAAAAGGAAAAACAAAATTATAAGAACGATATATTTTCTTTGTTTAAAATTATTATTATTGATCAATAAAATAAATCGAAAAATAACGATTACTATAAGATGTATTCTAAATTATCGATAATCTTTCTTATTATTTTACTTTATTTTTTCTTTCTTCCTTCTCATTCCCAATTCGAAACTCGAATGATTACAAGGAAAATCGATTTCCAATGTCGAAACGCTCATGCTTGTTGGCTATCTCTCTCTTCAAGCATGATAATAATGCACTCCTGTGTGTTTCCTATAAATCCGTAAATCGGTTCGATAATGATCGTTAGTTTCCCATTTAATAGGCACAATTAATGCGAACTATCTTTGTTTCTTCGTAATTTCATTATCAAATGCGAAATAATGTTAAGTAAATAAAAAAGAAAAGTAAAAGAAAGGAAAAAAAATAAAAGCA